ATCCTACCTAGTATTTAATCTGAAAGCATTCCTTCATTTATTCCTTATTCCCTAAGCATTTGTTGTGTACTTTCTATATATGTCTAGGCAAGCGCTGAAGAGGATTTCAAATGAATAGATGTGAGCCTTATCCTAGAAGAACTGCAATATAATGGTGGGGACAGATGCATGGTCACAATACATCAGGATGAGCTATGCTAGAGAAATAGGAAGTGCTCTGGAAACTCTGAGGGGGAACATACTGAACATATGCAATGTGCTACTCCTTTGTGGTTGGGTGGACGGATGGGCATAGAGGTTAGACATAAACAGATTACCTTGGGAACTTTTTTGGGAGAAAGAACAGAATTATTATTTTATTTTAATAGTAACTTTATTGAGATACTATCCACGCAGCATAAAATATCAAAAAACAGTTCAGTAGCTGTTGGTATAATTACAGAATTGTTCAGCCATCATCACTATCTAGATTTAGAACATTATCCCAAAAAGAAATCCCACACCCACGAGCCATCACTCCCCCATTCTTCCCCCAACCATCCATCCCTAAGCAACCACTGTTCTACCATGTGTTTCTATAAGCTTATCTCTTTCGGCATTTCATAGTGATGGGCTTCTATGTCTGGCATCTTTCATTTACATAACATTTGCAAAGTTCCTCCATGTTGGAGCATGGATCAGTATTTCATTCATTTTTATTGCTGAATAAGACTTTCATTATATGGGTATACAGTATTTTTTTTTTAATCTCTTCACCAGTTGATGTTTGGGTTGTCCACATTTTGGCGATAGTGAATAATATTGCTATGAACATTCATATACAAGTTTTTATGTAGACATTACTTTCAGTTCTCTTGGGTAAGTTACCCAGAAGTGGAATTGCTGGGTTACATGGTAACCCCGTGTTTAACATTTTAAGAAACTGTTGGATTGTTTTTCAAAGTGGCTGCACCATTTTATCATTCCACCTGCAGTATATAAGGGTTCCAACTTCTTCACATCATTGCCAATACGTGTTATTGCCTGAGAACAGAATTGTTTTGAATGAAAATATAAAGTCATTAAAATAGAAAAATTCCCATTAGATTATGTTATACTCACTAAGGCAGCCCATATATAAGTCATGTGATATTGGAACCTGAAGCTGAATGCCTTTTGTAGCTCTGTATACAAAACAACCCTGTTAGGGTCTAATTATCTTATCATTAATGTTCACCAGGTGGTTAGGAAATGCTGGCTTTCTTTTATGTCTAATTGAGAGGTAAATGATTATTTGTATAATACTGTTGAAAGTTAAACCCATTTCTGACATACAATTAAATGTAATTGAAATAGGACAAATTGAATAATAAAATTAAATTTACAAAATATTGTATGAAATGTATGTTCTTCTGTAGGATATTTAGGTGGTGAGCCAGCATTAGGGCTCGAGCCCCACATTTTTACTTAGTTGGCGTGGTTCCCACGTGCCCACACTTGCCTCTTCTACTTCCCTCCCTTGGCATATCAAAGGAGTTCACGAGACATTTCCCTGCTAACGCCCTTTGCAGAGAGATTGTTTTAAAAAGTGCTGAAGTTTTATGTGGTTAGGAAGGAAAATAGATTCTCCAGTCCTGTGGGGCATTCTCACACTCAGATTTGTTTTTCATGAATCTGAGAGACCTGACAATGATACTGTAAAAAATGGGAATGTAGATTGGACAGTCATAGCACCCTGCTATCTTGTCCTGCTCTCCACTAGCTTCCCAGTGCCCATGACTGGTTGTGTCACATGCTCGGTTAGGATTTCATTCAGTGGTTTTTGCAACCTGATATCTGCTCAGCTCTTTGGCACTAAATGTTTAAGTTCCCTCAGTGCACACACCATCACACTCCCTTGTTCTTCTGCTAGTGTTTAGTTTCCTCTTTTGGAAGTACTCCTCTCTCTACAAGACTCTGTTTAGACAGCACCTCCACAAAGAAGTATTTCCGAGCCCCCTAGTTCTACCAGGTCCCAAAGCACTGATGTTGGGGGCCTCGTTTACCACAGTGAAAAATAAAAAGCAAACAAACAAACAAAAACAGAAAATGTCCTCAGCCTTGTAGAGCTTATCTTTTATCTGAGAGAAACAAGTGAAAAACAATAACCATAATAACTAAATGCCTACTTTGCTTAGTAGAAGGTGATGGGAAATGTAGCGGATGGGAGAGGTGGAATTCTACATTAAATAGCATGGGTGGGTGGGCTTCACTGAGAATGCCTCTTGGGAGGAAGAATACGCCATGCGGATATCTGAGGAAAAAAGCCTTCCAGGCAGAGTCAACAGCAGCCAGTGAAATCTCCTGTCACGAGAGCATCTGTGTTGAATTGGTAAAATTCCAGCCGTCAAGGAAGTTGACTGGCTAGTGTTCCCAAGTATCCTTTCTGTAGACATATATATATCCATGTGGGTGTTTGAAATTCTAAAAATAGTTTTAACACAAATCTCTCTGATGCGATTTCCACTCCCTGGACCCCTAGCCAATGCTCATTTTGTGGACTAATAATAATCCAAAACTCCCCTTTGGGCACTACTGTACACCTAAATCATACGGATCCTATTATCTTCTTTCTCCGCCAGGAGATCAGGATTCATGCTTCGTGAAATACATGCTCCGTAATCACCGTGTGTTTCAGGAGGACCGGCACTGCTTCTGTGCTCCCTTCTCTGAGTCACATTCCTTTATGCTCTGTCTTCTCTCAGTTTTTAATCCCCTTCCCCATCATCACCCAGTTGGTGTTTCCTGGTTTCCCTTTTGTGCCAAATCTGGAAACACTGCCTGGGAATCCTCATCGTATTTGATCAACCAGAAGGCGGAGTTATTCTTCTGGTTCCTTCACTTTCCTTTTAGCAACGTGCATTAAATAGGTTCATGTCTGGGACTTCCCTTTCAGAAAGAAGAACTCTGGCACAGCCCTTGCGCATTATTTTAAGAATCTTTACCTCTCCCACATTTACTGGTTAGATTTGGGTTTGGGGGGGAATACTCTGGATCACTAAAGTTTTTATAAATCTGCGTTACCCACTGTTTTTTACTGTTGGCTTTTAAACAACATGCTTTTTCATATCATTATTTTATATTTCCAGGTGCCTTGGGAAGTAGATACCTTAGGAGTATTTTCATCAATCTGGAGCTTTCTGCTTTAACAACACAATAATCTAAATTTTAAAGAATAGGCTCAGGACCTGGGCATGTTTGTATATATTTCTGGATTAAAATGTATTTTCCCTGTTTCTCTACTGTCTCTTCTGTTTCCACATATCAGAGACTTTAAATGTCAGAAGATCGTCTTACTTGTCTTGAATGTCACACCTGGGGACTTCTTCACAAGCCACATTTCTCAGTAGAGATGGTGAGGGTTTTGTCACATAGTCATTTGATGCTCACGAAGGTGCTAACTGATGTGGGGATATGCTGATTTGTGCTTGCCACACAGTCTGGTTTTATAGATGCTATAAAGGTATCTATGGATTTTAGAGAATGTGCTTTTCTGCTGTTCTTCACTTTATTAATTTAAATTTTTTGTCAAGATAATAATTGTAAATAGTTTAAAAGTCAAATAATATTCACAGTTCTTACTGGAAAAACCAACGTTCTGTCATTCATCTCCCCTCCCCCACCAGTAATGTTCTCTTTTAAATTCATTACTTGTGAGGCGCTTGGGGAGCGAAGTAGGTTGAGCATCACACTCTTGATTTTGGCTCAGGTCATGATCTCAGGGTCAGGGGACTGAGCTCCTCTCTGCCAGGGATTCTCTCTCTCCCTCTCCTCCTTTCCCCACCCCACTCCCAACTCACACTCTCTCTCTCTCTCTCTCTCTCTAAAATAAGTAAAATCTTTACCAAAAAAAAAAAAAAATCATTATGGGTGTTTTTCTTGTGTTTAGCTCTGGTTTTCACATCAGATGATTATTCTGGTTTTCTAGATTATTTTTCTTTTATTTACTGTGGAAGATGAGGATTTAGCCTGCGAATACCCTGTCATCCCAATATAGTTACAAAAAAAGCTATTTAAAAAATTGTTGTGTTCAGAAGCAAAAACTGTATTGATTCTAAAATTGTGCTAGAATATGATATTTTAGAAAACAAAAACCGGAGTTTTCGTAATGCGTTATAAGGGAACTGCACTAAAAGCAAAATATTAGAGCCAGGAGGTGTTTATGTGTGTAATTTTAAGAGGATAACAATAATACCAGCATTCGAATAGCACATGAGAAAATTTTCATTTCCTCTTACCTTGCAGTAGCCAGTGAGTAAGCTTTGTTTTTAAACCCTAGTCAGTTAGAGTCTTAATCACCAAACATTTAATGGGAACAGAGGTGAAAGGTTAACCCTACTTAAAAGAATGAAAGTACTAAAGGCAGACTGTTCTGAGAACCATAAATTTGCATGGAAAACCTCACAAGGGAAAAATCGTAATTGCCTCAGCATGCTAGATGGGACGTATTTGAAGATAATTGGAGACTGTCTTTTATGTGTTCTCTTTGGTTTAGTTTTGATTTCATGTACTTTAATTTGTTTCCATCTCTTAGTTTTTTTCCTTAATATATTCTAAAGAATGTAAAACACTTCTGAGGATCTCATTACTACTTGTGAAATTGCCTGCTCTTGTACTATTGGATGTAATTTTTTTTGCCAGTCTTATAAGAAAAAGGTATCTTTGAACAGGCTATTCTATTTTAGTAGTCTGACAGGAGTGATCACCCTAAAAGCACATTTTGTGTAAGCTCAAATATACTATAACAATTTCCCTTAGGTGAATATTGTAAAGATTTTTGTTTTGCGTCTTTAAGTCCTGTCATCCTTATGCTTTTATTCATGTTTCGTCATTCATATGCGTAAAATTTATATTTTCACTTCAGACTTTGCTTAAATATTAGTCATTCCCTTGACAAATATGGTCAGTAGTCTAATTGACATGTTTCATTAGTTGGTGAACATAGTAGGTTACAAATTCAACTTTTGCTTCTCTTTGCAAAGGCCCTGAAACGAGAGTTAAAGGAGAAAGAGTATTCTGTTCTGAATGCTATCGACCAAGCTCGGGTTTTCCTGGCTGATCAGCCAATTGAGGCCCCCGAAGAACCAAGAAGAAACCTACAATCAAAAACAGGTGAGATTGGTTTCTTTCATATGTCATAAAAACACATGTGAGGGGAACAAAATCCTGAAATCAAGTAGGAGATTTCCTTACAGTATTTCAGGATCTGATACTAAAATTTTTTCTTCTAAGTGTTAGTTTAATCAAATATGTCATTATTAACAAATATCTAGATTTTTACATTAAAATGAGATGACTGTATGCATCAATATCCTTATTTTATAAGGAAATTAACTGCAGACAAATAGATTTAGTAAAAGGCATACCGTAACTAAAGGTAATTTCTTTGAGAAAGAAAAATGTGTATTTCTTATATTCAAACAAATTACATGATAAATGATTGCAACTAGAGGAATGGCATTTAAAATACAATATATATAAATACATAAAAATAAGCAAAGATTTTTTTAAACTCCTGTGTTTTTAGATTACTTTTTAAAATAAGCCATAAAGTAAAACACCTTTCTTTTAAAAGCAGACAACAGACTTTATTTAATTTAAAATTAACCTATTCATGTACTGTTTATATACTTTGGCTGAAAATTGAAACAGAAACTACCTTCTCAGCAAATAGCTGTAAACCACACAATAAACTTAAGAGATGAATCGGGGGCCAACATAGATCTTTGTTATGATTTTTCACTGTTGGCAATAAAAGCATTCTGATGCATTTTGAAAAACAAACATGCCATTCAAAATATTTTTTCATCTTTCACTTCACATGGTGAAGACAGACCTAAAAGACTGCCTCATGCTGTGTACAGCAGCATAATTCATGAGCATTTATTACTTGTTAGGAAAGTACAGTTGGAAAATGCTTTCTTTGACTATAGCCGAAACCAGAGCAGACGTTTGGACAAGTAGCCATTTTCCTCGTCATCCTTTGTCAGATCAGCCCTACTTCAACCTGAATAAATTTCCCATCAAGATCATGATAGTCTTAACCCTCTAAGCCTAGCTATGTGTGTCTTTGTACACACACACACACACACACACACACAGAGCATACCTATCTCTTCTAACTTTCATTTTCTGCGGGCAGCATCATTGTCTTTCCACTCAGCCTACTGGTGACTCAAGTCATTGCTGGGTCTCCACCTTTCAACAAACCCCACAGTGTGCAAATCCCTCCTAATTGATATTTCTGGCTTTGAAGAAGTACTCCTTCTGAGGATTCTGTTATGTATGTACTGTACGCACACACATACATGCACGCAGCCTACACATGCACGTGCTAAGTGAATGCGTGGGTGAGCTGAGCACCTGTGGGGATGCTTGGGCAGCGGGTGGAAGAGGGAAGACCACTGGGATGGGATTATCACAGCAGCAGGGAGGAGCAAAGCCCCTGCAGGGCACAGTGTGCTTAGGCAGGAGGCGGGAATGAGGGGTTTGTAGTGGCTGTCTGGTTTAGAGTGCAGAGGACCTGGAAAGTCAGAACATTTCAACTCAATATAACAAGAAAGAAGGCACTATTAATTGTTGTTGTTAAACTTGGAAAAAAAATGAGTTCACTCATCTCAACTTCTAGCCAATTTAAAGTCCACCTTAAATCTGCATTTCTTGTCTCCTTGCTTCCCCAGTACTTTCCAGAGCACAGAGGCAACATTTTTATGTTAAGCTACTTCATCGCGGTAAAAAAGTGTTATTATATCACTAAAGCTTCACTTTGCTCTAAATTTTCCTTCTCGGTGGGTAGTCAGTTTAAGGGGAGTGGTAATAATCGCTTTTTTGCCTTTTTATTTGGCTATTAGATTTGGTATATTTCTAAGCCGCTTTCAGATACTATATTGGGGGTCAAGAAAAAGTCATCTGTTTAACTTTATGATTTTCTTGGTTTTTGTGGTTTTTTTTTTTTTTTATGATTAGTAATTTTTATACTTTCCTCCTATACTGATACTGCTTTCTGCAATGCTGGCTGATTTTACCTGCTGTTAAAAGTAAATGAAAGAAAATTATCCATAATAGCTTTTGTACCTTTGTTGTTTACCATGATTTTTGTAGAGCTGCTATCAGAAATAGAGAGCATTTGAAGATGAGTTGTACATGGAGTACTCACTGTGGAGGGGAATCGATCAGGGAGAAATGATATAATGATTTTTTTAAAAAAGATTTTATTTATTTGAGAGAGAGAGAGAGTGAGAAGGGAGAGGGTCAAGAGGGAGAAGCAGACCCCCGAGGACCTGGGAGCCCAATGCAGGACTTGACCCCAGGACTCCAGGATCATGACCTGAGTTGAAGGCAGTTGCTTAATGACTGAGCTACCCAGGCGCCCCTGATAAAATGATTTCTTATTGCATTTAATAAGCAGTTATTTATTATGTTGTATGTACCATGCATAGTGGCACAGCAAAATGGATCCATCTCTCTACTTTTAAGTAACTATTTCAGAAAGTACTTCTCTACGTGACTTTTCTAAATGCCTTTTTTTCTTCATCTCTTTTTTTTTTCATTTTTTTTCCATTATTAATTATCTTGTGTATGTGTGTGTGGCAACCTGTGGTGTTTTACTTTATTGTTGAGTATTATAGGTATGAATTGCTCTCAGGAATCTATTAACTGACAAATCCTATGAAAAAGAAAGAAATTAATTATTTCAATGAAATGATAAGTAGCTGATAATCTCATCAGATATGCTCTGCTGATATTTCCCCTTTCCCCCAGTTTTATTGAGATATAATTGACAGAAAACACTGTAGAAGTTTAAGGTATACAACATAACAATTTGATGTGTGTATAGATTGTAAACCGATTACCATGATAAGTCTAGTTAATGTCCATCACCACACACAGTTACAAGTTATATTTCCTTGTGATGGGTACTTTTAAGATCTAATCCCTTGCCACCTTTCATGAATATATATTTTAAATACTCAGTAATCACTACTAACATTACTGCCTTACTTTAAGCCCTTGTCATTTTTTGTTAGGACTAGTGATAATTCTTTCTTAATTGGTATCTCTGCATCAAATAAGACACTACAGTGATAAATCTGAAACTCAGAACTGGCATTTACTTCCCAGGCTTAAAAACCACCAGTAGCCCCTGGAAGGGCATCTGAGCTCCTTCCCCTGAAGCCCAAAGCTACACAGGGACTTGGCCCCAATTTTCCTGGGTGGCAGGAAAACTGCCTCCTCTCCTGGTTTTTCCTGCCTGTGGGTCTCTATTACCGCAGGAGTTTCTGACTCCTTCCTTGTTTGCCCACCCAGCCCCTGCTCATCCTGTCACAGTCAGCGATGGCGCTCTGTCTCCCCAGCTGCCTTCCTCTCTCTGCTTTTCTCCGTGCTTCCCCCATCATCTCCCTGACTGTGTTACTGTGTCCAGAGCTCAGCTCTTCCTTTCCTAGCGATCTTTCTCCCTTATGGAGAAACTGAAAAAGTGTGTAAAATTAACTGAGCAGCCAAAATAAATATTATACAGCAAATACAGTGAAGATCCTACTCGGACTCATGGAAAAGCAGCTCTCTCCGAGGTATTAACTCTTACTTTAGACACTGTTGTAACTAGTTTAACTTGTTTCCCAGTGAATGGTGGGTATGTAGCAAAATGGAAATGACAGGACAGGGAGAAGGGTGACAGTGAGCGATGCCTGCTGGCAGTCTGACAGCAAGGAGGAGAAAGAAATTCTAGAACGAATATATGAGGCTTCTAAAATAAAACAAAACAAAGTAGTCTTTGGGGCTTTTTACAATAAAAGGAAATTGAAGCTATGAATTATGGTTTGTTTATTTTTTAATTTTTTTTAAGATTATTTATTTATTTATTTGACAGAGAGAGAGAGATCGCAAGTAAGCAGAGAGGCAGGCAGAGAGAGAGGGGAGGAAGCAGGCTCCTGCGGAACAGAGAGCCCGATGCGGGGCTCGATCCCAGGACCCTGGGACCATGACCTGAGCTGAAGGCAGAGGCTTTAACCCACTGAGCCACCCAGGTGCCCTGGTTTGTTTATTTTTGAAGACGGAATATAAATCAGTTAAGAGAAGGCATAGGAATTTATGCTACATTTTAGTATATTTCCTTTTAAAATGGCAACCATAAAAATCTAGAGCTAAATAGGTGAAGTGTGGCTGTCTGGAACCCTAACTCCTCAGAATAACTCATTCTACCTATAAATGGTTCTTAAGTAAATATAATTTTTAATTGAACTGAAATCATCTGAATAATTATAGGTATTTTGCAGAGTTCACAGCTTTGTCAGTAGCGCCCGTATCTGGTTGGAGCCACATGGAACTGTTTAATTTGTTTTAATCTGTATCATGTCACTATATTAATTTTCTTTTTAACACAGTTGAATTGTTTTTCATTTGATTTTAATCACCTGGTTTATATCTGTGAAGAGGTAGAATGATAGAAGAGTAAATTTTTCATCATCCTTTTGATTGTTCTTTGCATGTCTAAAACCACTCTCATGTTCTCTTAACTACCCCCAATGAGTCAGGTCGATAAAACAGTATGCCTTTTTCTTTCCCTCCCTTGCTTCTTTCCTTCCTCCCTTCTCTCTTTCCTTCCCTCCCCCCTTCCTTTTCAGTAAAAATGCAAACGCCAAGAAAATAATGTGATGCTGAACAAGGTCGCAAGCTAATGTAGCATAGATCCAGGAACAGAGCTCAAAACTTCTATGTTGGTGACCTTTCTTAATCTGAAGTGTTTTGGCTGGCTTTCACCACATCTCTTATCTCCTCTCTCTCTCTCTGCTTATTGGCCACTGTCTTGGCTTTCTCCTCTTGCAGTGTCTAGAGCCTCTTAACCCTGCACAGCTGTTTCTGGCTTCTCCTTTATTCTCCCAGCCTCCCCTTACTGTTACCCCTTACTGTTCTCAGTCCCAGCTTTTCAGTTCCTTTTGAGAACCACGTGGCTGCCCTGGGATGGGAAGGTGGACGTACAGACCATCTGGGGACTCAGTCACAGTCAGCCTTAGCCCACTCTGGCCCCCAAACCTCTTGAGATAATCAGAGAGTACACGTGCCTTCTCACCTATTTGTCACCTACAGTTCAGGTTAAAGGTCGGATTTGCAGA